CCTCGGGGTCGGGAAGGTCGGGGGCCGGGGCCCAGGAGGGGCTCGCCCGGGGCGCCTGTGGGAAGGAGCCCACGTCCCGGCGCAGCATGGCCGCATTCGCCTTTGGCATACTCGTGCTTGCCTCGCCAAACCCTGTTGCTTGGCGTTGGGTGGATGCGCCCGGCACTTCTCGCCGAGATGGCGGCAGCGCTGGCCGGGCACCGCCGGCCTCCCGGAGCTGAGTCCCCAAGGCCTGGGCAGGGGACAGCGTGGCCGCCTGCCCAGCGACCGCTCTGGGTTCCATTGCCTGGTTACCCTTTTGCCCCTAGCTGTAAATCACAGATGGGAATACGGCGGAGGAAAGTAGTGGGACCTGGAGATCCGACGGTGAAGCCAAGGCGCGGGCAAGGCGCGGGTCGGGGCCGGCTGGCGTTTTAAGGGGTAATATTGGCAAGTGGTCGGACTTTGCCCCTGAAGGCGTTTTGACCAAATTTCTGTCGCGTCCTGCCTCCTTTCCGTGTAGGAAGATGGTGATTTGGGAGCATACGAGGTGGGGTTGGCACTACGTGATTCACTTCTTCAGCTTTCTAATTTATTGTCATTTCTGCGCAGGATTTATAGCAACATCACCAGCTTCTCAGCCGTCACCAGCCGAACTGATAGAAATGCAGAATGATGTCTTTAATAAAGAGAAAAACAGGCAGTTGTCGCTGACTCCCCGAACCGAGAAGATTGAAGTTAAACACGTTGGGAAAACTGACCCTGGCACTGTGTTTGTGATGAATAAAAACATTTCGACTCCTTACAGTTGTGCCATGCGTAAGTAATGAGTCAGTCAGGGTGCAGTTTTGACTGTTTTTACCTAAGCTGTGTGGGAGGACTGGTGCAGAGGAGAGAAGAGGCTGTTATTGCTCTCTTGAGTGTCCCAGAAGTTCGACCTTTTCGGGGCATCTTACTCTCTGTCCACTGTCACTGTAGCTGTACAGGGTGCTGTGGGTCTTGCAGGGTTGGTACTGTAATGCACAGATTGTACTGGTATTTGTTTGAAGCTGGCTAAATATCAGGTGCTATCCAGTTGTTTCTGGTAGAAGAAGGCAGACGTGAAAACATTGTTACTAGTAGCTTGTCTCTTTTAGATAGCACTCTGATGTAATGAGAACAGTCCCCATAAGGATCTCATTAAAGGATTTGGGGGTAAAGGCACTACCCTGGCTCCAGATGACCAGCTATTTTGGCTTCTTTTCCTTTCTAGTCCTTACAGCCTAACTTAAATCACTTATCTGCTTACCACATGCCTCCTTCTGTGTTGTGTTTTTGTTTACATTTACATGTATGTGTGGTAAATGTGAGAGTCGAAATGTGCATGGGATGAGTGTGATTGGGGTAAAACTGTGTGTTGTGTTCATACCTTTTTTTAAAAAAAAAATATTGATTTCAGAGAGAGGGAGAGATAGAGATAGAAACATCAATGATGAGAATCATTGATCAGCTGCCTCCTGCACGCCCCCTACTGGGGAACCCTGTACATGTGCCCTGACCGGGAATCGAACCACGATTGCTTGGATCATAGGTTGATGCTCAACCACTGAGCCACGCCAGCTAGGCTGTTGTGTTCATACTTTAAGGGAGACACTGCATTGTGTGTGATTTGGTGTGCACATGAAGGGAACAGGGTCTCAATATTTTTATTTTTGATCAAAATGCTTGTATAGTACCTTTGATAGAACTGGTAGTATTTAAAATTAGCCCTCGCCCCAAGTAGCTGTATACACACATGCTCACTCATGTATATGACTAGCTGCATTGTTCAAACTTGGATAAACTCAGTAATGATTCCATTTAAGTGACAACTTTAGTTATCAGCTTTAGTTGGCCTATACACTCTCATTGTTTGTTTACTCTGGCATTTGAATTAGTGTTTATGATAACTGTTATTTGTTTTTTGAGCATTTATTGACCCTCTTCTACATGGTAGGTGTTAGGATTTCAGATGAAGATAAGAGAAGCTCAAAGCTCAGGCCTTAAGGAGCTTTATTCACATCACTAGAGAGATGAATGAAGCTTCTCAACCACACTCAACATGACCCCTGCCCTGAGACTTGCTTGTCATTCATACCTTCAGTCAGTGAAGTTATGTTGAGTACCTAGTATATTTCAGTCCTAGTACTAGGCTTGGGATGTGCTGATGAGTGAACAAGAGTAGACATGATTCCTGCCTTTATGGAACTGATGTAGTGGCTGATAATTTAGACCCTGTAGTTTGACCACCACTTTGAGTAGCTGTGTACTTGAAAACCATCTAATTAGGGAAGTGAGAGATAGTTTGGGAGCAAGACCCCAAATCCACCTACAACAGATTTACTGTGGAAGTATAGTTAAATATTTTTTCCTTCTAAGTCGTGTGTGCATATATCCAAATGTATCCATGCTGCTGCTCTCTGAATACATAAGTGTAGCTCTTGGAAAATTGTTTTATTAATTAATGATTGACAAATTAATTTCAAACTGGACTTAGCCTTAATGAGTTTTGTAAATGGTTTGGGTAATTTTCTTAATAACAATACATTGTGTGTGTTGGATATTAGTTTTTATTGATTACAGAGGTAATATACTTTTATTTCCAGAAAAAAGAATCTTGCAGAATCTTGCTTTCTATTGTTTTATTTCTTAATGTAGCCCTTAAACATGCCGCTTTTCACTTTTAGATTTTATCTTTAATCTATTTTAAATTCCTAGATTTAAGTGAGTGGTACTGCAAGAAGTCCATTCTGGCTCTTGTCGACGGACAGCCGTGGGACATGTATAAGCCTTTGACCAAGTCCTGTGAGATTCAGTTTCTTACTTTCAAAGACCGTGATCCAGGAGAAGTTAATAAGGTATTTCTGTCTCCATACTCTCTTTCCCCTCCCTCACCCCCAGTTTTTTTCTTCTCGTTTTTATTAAAGTCTGTTTTCTTTGGCGTATGAAATGTTCAAAGACAGCCAAGGTCAAATGTACTGTACTAGGTTGTGTTTTCATTGTTAGATTAGGCATTTTCATGGTTTAGATAATACCAGTAGTAACCATTTCTCTGTATTTTGATTTGAGGAAACGGTATGGCATGCGTTTGGCATTTATATCTCTGTTCAGCTGACACTTATTGATCACCCTCTATGTTGTGAGTGATTTTATTCCAACTACTACTGCTGGAATTCAGCCTTTGACCATCTTTTCTGCATTTTTTCAGGAACTTTTTAACTCTCTACCCCCACCCCCCTTTTTTAATACTAAAGTCTTCCTTAATGGTTCTGTAAGAGTTTTATTAAGAGATATGACTAAGGATCATGTCACTTACCCCTAAAGAACTTGCCTACATGATAATTGTTCATGTAGCTTTCCAGGACCTGTGTGATCTGACCTCAGCCTGCCTTACCTCCCACTGCATCTTTCCACTTCATCTTTGCTCTTGCCACACTAGATGACTTTGTCATAAATGGTTTATCCTGTGTTATCTATCCTACTTGCTTTTGTTGATGTTCTTCCTTCAACTCTTGAGTATTTTCTTTCCTCCTGATTAAAATGCTATCTGCTCTGTACAACCTTCTTGTTGGAATTAATCTCTCTTTTCCCTAGGACCTCACAACACTTGGCTAATGTCTCTAGAGACAATATTTTAACTTAAATTCTAGATACAATATTAAATTTTTAATTTTTAATATTTTAATTTTAATTTGGCTCTTTGAAGACAGGGATCATGGCCCTTATGGGACCCTGTCCGTAACTGACATACAGTAGGTATTTAATAATATTTTAGAAATAAAATACTTAAATAAGAAAATGATAGACAAGATAATAGTAATAGCCAACACTGACTATTTATGATGTATCAGGCACTGTCTTAGGTGATTCATAGGTATTAACTCATTTAATCCTCATAAATGCCATAAAATCGGTGCTATTATCTCCATCTTCCAGATAAATAAACTGAGGCTAGTGAGAGTTTCACTAGCTTAACCAAGGTTACCAGTTTAGGAAGTGGTGGAGCCTGGATTTGAACCTAGGCATTCTGTGTCTGGAGTTCAACAGACATTATAAACATTTATGTAGGATAGACGAAGAAGTACATTTTCCTACTTGCCTTCAAGGCCTGTGTTTATACTTATTCTTAGTGTATGTGATGTGATTGTGTAGAATACATTCTGGAGCAGTCTGCCCTGCACAGCCAGGTGAGCCCACTCTTGTCCTCAGGTGTGGGGAAGAGCTGATAAAAGTCAAGTAACCAGTTATAGTAGTGCTAGTATGGGACATAAGATGAGCAGGTGTGTGCAGGACTCGTGTTTCTCTTCATGACTCTGACAGTCATTGGGTGGTACCATCTCAGGCATGTCTGTGGATCAAAATGTGCTAGGAAAATGAGAGCCTGGTTAATAGGGCGGTTGCTTTGCTATAAATATGTTTAATTTGAGTGATGGACATGATGTTAGGTATAGGAGTCATAAATAATTCTTGAAAGTTGAGTTTTCCCTCCGTATTTATATATGTTATAGATGTATATATTAATATATTTATTTTACTTTAGCACATGTAGGTTAACAAGTTAACTTTATCCTGGCTTAAAAGTGAAGTTACTACCAGATAATAAAACTATTGGTTGATAAACATCATGGTGTCTGATACCTTGCACAGAAACATTGCTAACAACATGAAGTTGTTTTATTATTTCGTGGTTTTAGTTTAGTACAGATAGTGTCATGGCCTGATGGTCGTTACTGCTACGTGCTGACAATGTACAGAAATTTAGAAGTAGTTCCTAAGTCAAAAGTCAACCTAAATGTTAATGTTGAATAGATCTCAGTGAATCTTAGTGTGTATGTCAATTTCATTTTTCCAGGCTTATTGGCGGTCTTGTGCCATGATGATGGGCTGTACAATAGAGAGGGCATTCAAAGATGAATATGTGGTCAGTTTGGTCAGAGCTCCAGAAGTGCCTGGTAATGTACAAATATAAATATAAATACAAATATACTTTTTGTAATCTTTGAATATTTTGGTACCTGTCTTTGATGTATAGATTTCATTTCTAATTTTATCTAGTATAAATTAACATCATACTTACATTCCACTTATTGTGGGTAACAAAATCCATATTTAATTATGGAGGTCAATAATTAATGTAATAGGATTAGAGGAGAATGTTTCTCTTGAATGTGAATTTCATTGTCTCAGTGTTTTTTTCTTATCATGTTAAGCGTTTATTTCCACATCGAATGTGTGGAGGACAAGGAGATGGGAGTATAAATAGACTTCTGGAGAGAGCTACACTTAGGTTATACTATGTCACCAGAAATGGCTGACACTCTGGAGAAGTTCATGAAAGAGTTACTTTTTGCAATTTTGCTAAAACTAGGATTTTGTAACAGTATGTGTAATAGGATTACATTTGTATTTTTTTAAAATGTAGAAGTATATACAACCAAAAGTATTTGGAAAGCTCAATAAAGGGTTATAAGAGCAAAACAACAAAAATAAAGATATGTAGGAGATACCAAAAAAGAAATTCACCATTTCATGTCCACTTAGTCATTTACCTGCTTATTAGATATCTTGTTCCTTTTGGAACTTTTATATCTAGGGGCTATTTAAAATCTCTGTGGCAACATTATTTCTGAGGAAAACTTGAACATTTCAAAAGTACTGGTGATCTTGGGCTAATAATGGGAGAGTTAATTTTTTTGGATGAGGGAATGTTGGTAGAGCTCTGACAAGCACCTGGAAAACTGGTAACATTTTTATATTTTGTAGAGTTGGGAAAGATTGCTAACCATTTTATGGTTAAAATATTCAATTGTTGCAAATTGGTAGCTTTCTACCCTAATAGATCTGACTTTGCTTTTAATTTTGGTTGGGTTTACAGTAATCGCTGGAGCCTTCTGTTATGATGTAGTTTTGGATAAGAGACTTGATGAGTGGATGCCAACAAAAGTAAGTACACTCTTTGGAGTATTAATTTTAGAGTGTGTGCTTTTCTTTGGTGGAATGATTCCTGTGTTAGTATTGTTGAATGGTATGGCGTGTTGAGGATGTTTAAAGGAATGAATCTGTCCATCTAGCATCCCTCTATCTATCTTGTTGCTTTCTTAGTGTATTTAAGATAGAGACATATGAATGAAGGCAGTCTCAACAGTATGGAAGCTGTATGTCCTACTTGACCTTTGCTTGTAATGCTTTCTTCCTTGTACTGTTCCTGCTGTTCCTTAAGATAGTGGTTTTCCAGATGACCAGAATATAAAATGCAGAAGCTTAACTATCTTGGTTTATGTGGTGGTAGGGGGCCTGGAGCCTTAAACTTGGATCCCCACAGTGCAATTTGAAAACCATTGCTCTAAACCCTTTAGCTTGTTGCATACCGTGAGATCCCCCTAGATGCAAGCGTCACATTGAGTGGGGGCAACAGACTAAACAGCAAAAAACTAGACTGTGCAGATGGTCTGCCTTCATAATGCAGGTGCTCCTTGTTGGTCTAGGACTTGGGTAGCAACAGGGCCTGGCTAACAGGGATGATCTAGTCAGGTGTTCTGTAGGGGGAGAGTGCTCATGGCCTTCAAAACTCAAGCCTAGAGGCTTAGTTATGATTGAGGAGAGCAGGCAAATGCCCAGTTGTTAATTAAGCAAAACTCTATGTCCCACAGATTGGAAATCTGGAGATCAGAAAAGGGAACATGGTGTAGCATCCCATTTTATCAGTTCCACTCTGTACATTTGTTCACATTTTAATATCTCCGAAAACAAACATGTCTTAGAGTAGTTGGCGTCTTATTTTAATTGATGGTGTTTTTTCCTTAGTGGTACATCTTAGATTTAGTGAAATGCTTAATTTCTAAAAGCAAGAATTTAAAACAGATGCAGGTTAAATTCTGGCTTTGGAAGTTATTTCTTTTATAATCCTACCCATATAATTTTTTATCAAGAGGGAAAGAGAGGAAGGGAAGAGAGGTGGAGTGAAGGGAGAAGGAAGGCCAAGGAAGGAACTGGAATGTTTCTTCACAGGCTCTGGATTTGTGTCATTGTAACTTCTTCCCTTCCAAGTATGCCTCCAAACTTAAGAAGAGATTCTTTATTGGAGCAATTAAGTGAAAACCAGTAAGATCAAGATTCAACTCTCATTACCTGTGGAACTTGCTGCCTCCTTTCCCTTTTTTTAAAGATAAAACTTTAACAAAGAAATGTACTAGATAATTGCTGGCTCCATGGGATTGGGTGGATGGCTGAGAGAAAATAGGGAAGAGTTAAATTCAAAGAACATCTCTGTTAAACCATGAATGTAGATTCCTTATACAGTAAATGACCCCTTCAAGAATGGAGAAGAGTGATTTCATGCAAAAAAAAGTCTAAAAATAGGAAGTTTATGGAAAGAATTTTATTAGAAAAGTTATTTGACTAATAGTGATCTTTTCTGTGTTAGTAATGATTTATAGTATGAAAACCTAATTACAGTTTTTATTAAAAGTCATATAAAAGTTGATAAATATATTATTAATCATTTTAATTATGTAAAATTGATATTTGCATTAAACAGAAATTTAAAATATTGGAAATAAGGTATATTTTGTACAGGGCCAATGATGGTATTACATGAAATTTTCTGAATCACATAAACAGTTCTTTCCACATGCATTTAAATAGCTTAATTTTGCTCATAGTGTAAACAGATTTTTGTATCATACTATTTATTTATTATCATTTCTATTTGTTATATTTTAGTAAACATTTATAAGGTTATATAATTTGAGTGAAATAGTTATTAAAATTTCTTCATAGTATTATCTTTAACAATTATTAATACAGGCTGATATTTTAATTACAAATAAATTGCAAGTTTTATAGTTTGTAGAGTTGGGAGAAATTGCTAACCGTATGTTCCATGGTCCAAATATTTAATTATTGCAAATTAACAACTTTCCTGACAAATTTGCTTTCCTTTTTAGTTTGATTTACAATATTAAGCATATAACTTAGCTTATTTGCTTTATGTTGAAATACTTTTAAGTAAATTGTTACAAATGTTAATACTTTTCTTTTTTAAGGAGAACTTACGTTCTTTCACAAAAGATGCTCATGCTTTAATTTATAAAGACCTCCCATTTGAAACTCTGGAAGTTGATGCGAAAGTGGCCTTAGAAATATTTCAACACAATAGGTAAGTGCAGGCTTGCTTTAAATAAGATTAAAACTCCCTAAGTTACATGTAATGAAGAAAATTCAGGTCTTAAGAATTCTTATATTCTTAAAGCTGAATGTAAAAATTTAGGAAAAAATTCTAAATAAAAGCAAATTTTGTTGGGAAAAAATAAAAATTGAGCTTGTAATAGATATATTTTATGATAGATATATTCCCTGGTTAGCTCATGAAGGCCTCCTTTATCAATACCCTCCCTGGGTTGGCATTTTTCAAAGTGTTGTGCCTCAGGAATATTCTTCCATAAGGCATTAATTAATTTGCTGAAAAGCATGTACTGTGTTCAGCTGAATTTGGAGAACAGTGCCATAAAACAGTTTATTCATGTGCGCTCTAAACCCTCCCAAAGTGGACATAGAAGACAATGATTTTCAAACGTAGTAGCTTGTGCAACTCTTTTTTAACGCAATTTTTAGCATATTCTGGAACCAATGTACTTAGAAACTAGTAAGAATATACTATTTTAACTGAACCAGAGTAAAAATAGTACTATAGAACCAAACCACCATTGATTCTGTAAGAAAATTCCTTGGATTATCAGAACATATCAGGTCACCATGCCAAAATTCTCGGGTCATGCTGCCCAGCAGAAATACAATGTGAGCTATCTTTAAATTTTCTAGAGGCTACATAAAAAAAAAAAAGAAAAAAAAGTGAGGTTAATTTTAATCATAAATTTGAACAATATATCTAAAATGTTATTGCCACATTAAAAATGGTAATGATATTTTTTATTACCCTTCTCATACTAAGTCTTCAGAATCTGGTGTGTATTTTACACTTAGGCACATTTCAGTTAGGACTAATTAAATGTGAGTGTTCCATAGCTACCATAGTGGATGGCATACTAGACTTTCATGCCACGTACACTAGGATTTTCCTTTCCCATGCTCAGCTGTTAGAGTCTAGCAGAGGTGTGTAGGACTTTTGTAGCTTAGTTGAATGTGTGGGGGAGGGAGGGTATGGTTTGGGGGTAAGTTTGAGGGGACAGAAGAGTTTTGGATGATTCATGGTGTATCAGTGATCAGGCCTTGGCTCTCAGGGGACAGGAGCGTCTCTTAGAGGTGGGTCAGGAGATATAAATGCGGGGGTGGGGGGCGGGCCCTGACAGTAAGTGAATGTTCTTGTGTAGGCTAATTTTCCCAACCTTCCCACACACTCACATAATATTTGTTTAGCACTCTGTGGTGAATAGACAAGGCTCTTGATAGTAAGTGGTAAAATCATGATTTGAACCTGGGCTGTGTGGCTCATCTCTGCTATTAGCTCTACGGACAAAATGGGGTAGATTTGGGAGACAGGCTGAATTGACATGACTTGGTAATGAACTGGATATAGCGGGTGTGGTGGGAGAAGCAGGAATTAAGGAAATCTCCCAAGTTTTTCACTTGTACATGTGGTGGTTGGCAGTGTCATTTACTAAGCTAGGAAAATAACAACTAAGCTCTCTTATTCCTAAGCTGGGAATAAGAACAAGTTTGGTGGGAAAAGCGGGGGTAATATTTTATTCACTTTGAGGATTTGGGAGTTTAAGGGACTGGGGAACACCCTAGTGGATGTCCATGAGAGTCTTGGATATACATTTTAGGGCCCAGGAGAGGTATGTGGATTAGAAGTAGAGCTGTGGAAGATATAAATGCATAAATGGTAATTAAAGCTGTGTAAACCAAGGAGCTAGCCCAGCAAGGATGCTCAGAGTGAAAAGAAGATCTAGAAAAATCCTTGAAGGCAGAGAGAGAGAAGGGTGGCCAGAGAGTTAAAATAATAAGCATTTTGAGAGGTGGAGGTGAGCAGTGGTGGTAAGAAAGTGAGGACCCAAAGTGTCCGTTAGGTTGTCATCAAGGAGGCTTCTGTGGCTTTGGTGAGACAGTTTGGTGGAGTCATGAGTGAAGGGGGGTCCTGAAGGGGAGTGAGGAAGAGGGGGCTCCAAATGTAAACCTTTCTTTCAAAAACTGGCTGAAGAGGAAGAGAAAAGATTTCTTTAAACTCCTTTTTGTATGTTCATAATTAAAATGTTTTCCTTTGCTCCATTTTAGGTATAAAATCGATCTCATAGAGGAGAAAGCATCTCAGAACCCTGAGAGAATAGTCAAGCTGCACAGGTAAGTAAAAATTAAGTAATTGGCTGCTATGCTAATTTAGAGTAAGGGTTTGCTTAGTAGGTACCTGAATGTAGTGTGCAACTAGAAAAGACGGACTCGTGTCGTAGGCCGTTATTCTCATTGCCTTGTTCTCTATTGCTTTGTTTGCTGTTTTCATAAAGTAGTAATTGGAAGCTTTAAATTATCTTCAGGAAGTCGTGGTTTCTGTTCCTCATTTTATTGTTATTTTTATTTCTGCATTTCAAGGGTGAAAACCATTGTTCAGAAATGTAATTTTTAAGAGATAATTTTGAAGTTGAGCAAAATAGTCACAGTTATGAATTGCACATGATAATTTGTGTGTATACGGAAATATGAATTCTGACTAGTTACTCCTTATAATACATACAAGTAAGTTAAATTGGAATGTGCTTTCTGATGTGGGGATGAGAGAGGTAAGACAACTCATTGTGCAAAACTGACTTCATGGTCTGTGACTGTTTACCCAACCCCATGTTTTCTTGATTTGGACTTAACTTTTTCCTCTAGAAAACTGTTCTTTGTTGCTGGACATAATCTGTCCTACATATTGAATTCTAACCTCTGTTGCAATGAGTTGTAAGATTGTAGGTTGTCAGTTTTAGACAATGGATCCACTTGATAGCATGATGTGTTCAGTGATCTTAAAAATCTTGAGGCTCTTCACTTGAGATTTTTATGCCATGGCCATTAGAGGCTGAATGGAGTCACGTAGAATGTTCTTGATTAGGGATGTAGCAGCAAAGAGAATGAATATATTTCCCCCTGCAATGTATTGTAAACCATTTGATTTTGAGGTTTTGTTTATTTTAAAAATCAAATCAGATTTGGTGACTTCATTGATGTGACTGAGGGCCCTCTTATTCCAAGAACAAGTATTTGTTTCCAGTTTGAAGTGTCAGCGGTTCACAATCTTCAGGCCACCGGATCAAGTCTTGTACGAAGATTCCAGGGTCTCTCCTTACCTGTTCATTTAAGAGTAAGTTAAAGTTTCAGGTCATCCAATTTGGGTGTGGGTGTGAGTCTAGTCTTGATTTTATACCAGTTTGAAAGCCATAACATTTTAATTTTCATTAAGTTGTGTGACACTAATATTTTAGAAACTTGGGTTTACAACTTAAAAACAGTTTTTCCTAAAATGTAAACAGATAATTTGCAGAAGAAACATTAGTTGAAAAAGTTAAGTCAAGTTGAGATAGCATTTTTAATTTTTCAAAGCAGTATGGGAGAGGGTGCATGAAGAATATTGGAGTGCTGATTGAAAAGACCGTCTGGAATGCCTTTTGGCCTTATTTTAGCATGCTCTTCTCCCTAATTTTGATGGACCATTCATGACTAAAGCCTTTTATGTTCCATATTGCTATCACCTTTGGTAATTCTTTTATTTTTTAATTAAACTTTTGATTTTGAGATAATTGTAGATTCCTATGCAGTTACAAGAAATAATATAGAGAGATCTCAAGTACGTTTAACCATTTTCCTCAATGGTAACATCTTCCCAAACTACAGTACAATATCACAGCTAGAGTATGGACACTGATACAGTGAAGATACAGAACAGTTCCTTCACAAGGGTCCCTCATGTTGGCCTTTTATAGATAGCCACATTCACTCACTCCCCTGTGCCCCGCTCTCACCTCCTTACCCCTGGCAACTGCTATTCTCTTTTCTATTTCTGTAATTTTGTCATTTCAAGAATGTCATATGAATGGGATCATGTATTATGCAATCTCTTGGGATTGGCTTATTTTTTCACTTAGAATAATCCTCTGGAGATTCATCCAAGTTACTCTATCTGTATGTCAGTAATTCATTCTTTTTTGCTGCTGAGTAATTTTCCTTGGTATGGATGTACCACACTTTGTTTAAGCATTCACCTGTTAAAGGACATTTGGGTTCCTAGTTTTTTGGCTATTGTGAATAAAGCTGCTGTGAACATTTGTGTACAGGTTTTGGAATTTTTTTTCATTGCTCTGGGATAAATACCCAGAAGGCACATGTTTAGTTTTTAAGAAGCTACCAAACTGAGTTCCAGAGTGGCTGCATCATTTCATTCCTACCAGCAATGGGTAGGAATGAAATGTTTTCAACTCCTTGCTAGCATTTATTTGTCACTCTTTTCTATTTTAGCCATTCTGATTGGTTCATAGTGATTTCTCCTTGTACTTTGAATTTGCATTTCCCTGTTGGCTAATTGTGTTGAACATTTTTCATGTGCTTCTTTGCCATTTGTATATCTTTTCTGGTGAAGTGTCTGTTTATGTCTTTTGCCCATGTTCTAATTTGATTGTTTGCTTTTTTTGTTGAATTTTGAGGGTTTTAAAAAATGCACTGTAGATACCAGCCCTTTGTTAGATAAGGGTTTGCAAGTGTTTTCTCTCTGTATTTTGTCCTTTCGTCCTCTGGACAGCTTTTTGCAGATCAGAAGTTTTTAATTTTGATGAATCCATCTCATCAGTTTTTTCTCTTTGTTTTTCACGCTTTGGGTGTCAATTTTAAGAATTCTTTGCCTAGCCCTATATCTGGTTCTTTCTCCTAAAAGTTTTATAGTTTTATATTTAAGTTTGTGGTCCATTTTGTATAAGGTGAGATTTAGGAGAAGGTTCATCTTTCTTGCCTATAGATGTCAAATTGCTCCAGCACCATTTGTTGAAGAGGCTGTCCTTTCTCCATTGCATCGCTTTTGTACCCTTCTTAAAAATCAGTTGGACGTGTTTGTATGGTTCTGTTTCTGGGTTCTCTCTTCTGTTCCGTTGATCTATGTGTCTATCCCTCTCCCATATCACACAGTCTTTAGCTATAAATAGGTCTTGAAATCAGGTAGAATAATTTCTCCTATGCTATTATTCTTTATAAAAATTGTTTTATCTATTCTAGGTCTTTTGCTTTTCCTCTAACTTTAGGGTAATTTTTTCTATATCGACAAGCCTTGCTGAGATTTTGATAGGAATTATATTAACCCTGTATATCAATTTGGGGAGAGTCGACATCTTTACTGAGTCTTCAATCTATAAATAGTATATCTTTTCTTTTATTTAAATCTTTCTTCACCTCTTTCATCAACACTTCATAATTTTTAGCATACATGTCCTTTACGTGTTCGATGTTTCTCTACATGCCTGCTTCCTTTCCTAGCTTTCCCCGTCTCAGAAAACAGCATTGTCATTTACCTGTTGGAGGTAATCCTTGATTCCCTATTTCCCTGATAGCCATGCCCCATCCCTTCCATCAACAAGTCCTTTCAGCTCTTAATTCTCAAACATACCCTGAGCCCATCTGCTGCATAGCTTCTCATCTGCGGCTGCCCCCACCCCAGGCCCTCTTACTCTCCACTCCCCTTCTGTTTTCATTCTTGTCCCCACAGCGCATTCTCCACTAAGTAGCCATGTGACCTTTTTAACACGCAAATCAAATCATGTAATTCCTCTGCCCCAAACTTTCCAGTGGCTTTTTGTGAACAAATTCTAACCCTTCCCTGTCTGATAAAGTCCTGCATTATCCCGCTCCTGTCTGCTGCTCTGACTTCATCTCGTACGTCTTCCTGCATCGCCCGCCATAGTCCGTCATAGTCTGTCCACACCGTAAGGTCTCTGCACCAGCTCTTCATTCTCCCCAAGTCAGGTGTGGTTTTCCCTTTAAACATACCAATGCTGCTCTTTTCTCCGAAGGGTTGGCATGTACATAGTTAGTAATTTTACCTTTTATTGTACGTTTTACCTGCTCATTCACTGTGAAATAGTCCCTGGCCTACCCTTGTGCCTCATTAACCCCTTCAATTGACGTAATCAAATTGATGTGGTCATTATGCACTTTGACAGTCATTAATACATTCTGATAATCCTCTACCACATAGAACTGTTAAGGATTAAGGAAATTAGCTCTATAATTTGTTTGTTGTTTTTGTTAGTTTTTACTTGCTCTCAAGGGTAATTTGCTAAATCCTGTAGGTCTGCCATTTCAGTGTGAGGTGGGAGATCTCACGGTTCGCAATGAACCTATCCTTGTGTGTGATTAAGATGCGAAGAATGGCCTCTAAGCACGCTGAAATTGGCTACTTAAGGAAAGGACTGTAATCTACGGGAAAGTGGGGCAGATTTTTCTTCCCATGATAAGGAATGCTCTCTGTGATGGTAGTGATTCAGAACAAAAGAGGAAGAGTGGCGTATTCAGGGCTCAAGACTTTTCTTAAATGCAACTGTTCTTTATGGTACATTGTTCTACTCTAATCCATGTTTATAACCATTTAGTCCCATTAGTACTATGTATTTGTTTTGTTTTAAACCTGTATAAAGACTCAGTCCCTTTTATTTTAACTTTACTGATTTATTTTTTCATAGTAAATCTTTTTTTTTTCCAAGGCACATTTTACGATATGGGATAAGCTATTGGAAAGGTCTCGGAAACTGGTAAGTGTTTTTGACAGCTAATGAATACTCTTCTACAAAGAAATATTCATTGAAATTAAGCAAGCAACAACAACGAAAAGAAAAGAAGGAAAAAAGTAATTATTAGTTGTCTCAGTAGTTAAAGCAGCTTTGTGGTGGTTGTTTACACAGTATTTTGGCAAGAGAAAAACTGTAGCTTGAATTGTTTTGATTTTGTTTGTTAATATTATGGAAATGATACTGTAGAACTTGAAGAGAAATAAGAATATTCTATATAGTAGTAATAGTTCTTAAAGGTTGTAATGGTGTTAATTGGGTTTTATGATAATTATTTTGTATTCCTAATGAGCATTTAAAAGATTAAGATTAGTCAGATCTATTTTAAAACTGCCTTGACCGTTGGCATTAAATGTGCAAGTGTCCTGAAAAACAAATTTAAATGCTTGTGTTTTGTGGTTGGTTTGTCATTAGCATTTAGATTTCATAAGTAGGAATGATAATGTTTTTTGACCTTAACTATCCCTAGTCACTGTCATAGGCTGTGTTCATCTTTTGCTTAAATTATCTGATAGCTGTTCTGTGTAATCCGGCTGCATTGCATGAGCCCTTTACTAGTTTCCCTAGTGTTGTACTCTAGTCAGGCTGCAAACATACTGATCAGCACACGTCAGACTTGTCTTCAGGCTTGTTTATTTCTCCATCTCATTTCTTCCATCGGGGGCTCATGTTCCATCCTTCTGTCTGCTTGCATCCTGCTCATCCTTCAGCACCTTCTCCACAGAACACTCTTAGTGTCGTTGCTTACCAAATACCCATTCGAACAGCTTCTGCATGATTACATCCCTCCTCTTGCTGTTTTCTGCTGCTTTTTGCTAGTGCCTTTACATTCAATCTCTTAACCTATTCAGGGTTTATATGTATGTGTCATCCCAAATTTTGAACCCAGCATTTGGTACACAGGGTGGGGGGCTTACCCAATTTATATTTATTATTTTTGTGATGATGTTTAAACTTCGTCTACATGAATGAATTTATAGGTAGAATTTGTTTTTTAGGTACTACTTAGCCATAATGGTCTTGTGTAAAGCTTATGTAACTTCCTTTGATGAGAAAGTATATTTGAATAGATGGAATAACTTTGTCTCTTTGGTTGATTACAATAATTATTTTAGATGAAGGAAAGAGAAGAAATGAGTGTAATTTAGGGGAAACTCAGGAAGCAATAATAACTGAATACTTTAAAGCAAGGAAAAATGCAGAAAAATAGCAGATACAGTAACCTAGACTAGTAGAAATCAGCGAGTAGCTGTTTTTGAAACATTTATTCTGGTTTAGGTTTCTCCTTCCACTGTTCATTTTGCTTGTCTGTGAAGAGTAGGTTAAACATGATTCATTGATGCAGCCAGCATGGACTTATTAGGGTTTCTGCCAGGACCTGTAGGTATAAAAATGAACAGAACCTCTCACTGTCTTCAAGGAAGTTACTTTCATGGGGTAACTAGACATAAGCAGCCAGTCAGGTGGGGGATACAGAGGAGTGGGACTCAAACCAAGCCCGGAGGGTGGTTAAGGAAGGTTTCCAGCAATTGGTGTCTCTGAAGCTTGTTTTAAAGGATGAACGAAAGTGGGGCAGGCAGGTAATTTGCTGGGGCATAGGTTGGGGGTTATCTCAGATGGGAGGAGAGCATGAACGTGAGATGAATCTGAACGTACAGTCCTGTGTAGCGTGAGTTATGAGTCCAAAGAAATTTGCTTCAAACAGTGTATGAAGGGCTCATCTCCCATGATGTAGAATTTTCATTCCCCTCCTGAGGGTGATTGGCCTAACTGGAGAATTTTAACAAGGAAGTGAGCTCTTGGGCAGCTGTTCCTGTTTAAAAGCTCATTGGGGGGAGGGTATGGGAGATAGCTGCCACTTAAGTCAGCAAGTACTCTTACTAAGGGCATAGAAGATGATGAGATTCTAAAGTTTAGGCATGGCAGTGAGAATGGCTGTGAAAGTTACTCAGGCAGAGTTAGTAGGACTGTTTATTGACTATGCAGGTAAGAGAACTGTGGATTCTCTAATACCCTGTGTGGGCAACTGGGTAGAGCCCTTCACTGAAATAGGTATGCAGGAGGTGGAGCAGGGTTTGGGGTGATGAGGAATACAGATTAGCCCCGTTTGCTTGATGTGTGCGAATGACACAATAGACAGACAGCAAGCTCTTTCATTCATTTAATGTTTTGTTATAAAGATGCCGTGGGAACCTCACTGTGGCTTCTCTCAGTTAGCCTATAGTATAATTGGTTTCTTTATATGGTGTTTGGCTTAAAGTTGCAGAACCTATTGATGACATTAAGTAAGGACTTACTGTATGGACATACAGATACCTATTAGTACTAAGCCTGTAATATACTATGTTAAAAATAGTATTATACCTCCCAACAAAATAGTGATTTAAAATATGTTGTTGCAGCACTGCTGGTGTTTTTGTTACACTGACGATTCATTTTATAGATGAGAAATAAAATGACAGTCTGGAGGAGCCTAGCTGCGGCCTCCTCCGGTTATATTGTTAATGGAATTGTGCTCTACTTGATAGTTTATATTGGGAACTTGGCCTTGTAAGTTTTTTTCTTTCTACTTAACTTTCTGTAATAATTACCATTGGAGAAAGACAAAGGTCATGTAAGGGAAGGACTGTGGGATGGTTTCAAGTGGCGGGTGGGGGGTAAAACTAAGTGCTCTTTAGAAAGTAAAGCTGTTCATGTTTTCACAGGTAACCGAAGATCAAAGTAAACCTACAGATGAAAGTACATCTACCTAGTAACACCTAAAATTTAAACATGTGTAGTAAATTAAAATAAAAGTTTTCTGTGTACCATTTGTGTGCTTATAAAGATCCACTGTCTTTTTCTAAGATTTATACTGTGTTTAGGTTTTTCTTTCCCTAAAGGATAGAGCAACTCATGTTGTTGACTATAAAAATTTCACACAGACATAACCCCGTCCCTTCATTCCCCAGATGTAGCACTGGGCTTGTTTTCTTCTTTCCTGCATGCATGAACTTAATGTGCACGAGTACAAATGGAATCTCTTGAAGACGTCAACAGGATCATGCTAGTTTCCATTTTTCCTTATTTTAAAGTGGTTCAGTCAACATCCTTGGGCAAAATGGCAAGTGCTTTGTGGATAGATAGGCAGATAACTGACTGTTTACTAAGTTAACTGTTTCTTATATACTGGTCATTTCACATGGAACCTTTTGTTTAATCCTCACAACAACGTGCTGTTCAGAGGTGTTTCCATTTGGTAAACAAGGAAACTGAAAGAGCACAGAACTGGCAAATTAGCAAAGCTGGAATTTGGACCCAGGTAATTTCACTCAGCCTCTTATGCACTGCTCTATGCTGCTCACGCGCCGGAAGTTTTGTAGGAAGAGGTTTCTGGTAGTGGAATTAGTGAAAGATGTTACCTGATCCTAGCCTCTCAAAGGTTTTGTCAGACGACAGTCCCAATGGCAGTTCTGAGAGTACCTGTTTCCCTGTGCCTTGGGCAAGTCTTGACTCTCAGCCTTCTAAAAATATTTTGCCAAAGAATTTCTTCCCATTCCTTTCCAAGCGCTTGCTTTCTGGGCTTCATGCACAGGTTTCATCTCAAGATTTATTTCTTCAGTCCTGGGTGGGATCTACTTTTTCTAGAGTCCATGTCTTCCTGTTCCCTGATTAACTTTCCTGTGTTCTGAGAAAAAGTGTTCAAGGGGTGAGCCGTTGCATGTCTAATGTGGCTTTACAGCTTACATTTTGCAGCTTACATTTATCAGCTTTTTGGCTAGATATAGAATTCTAGATTGAAAAATAATTTTCTCTCAAGTCTTTGAAATTAACTGTTACCTTCTGGCACCTGATGTTGTTAATGAGAAGTCTGATACCAGTTTAATTCTTGGTGTATAAAATGCTAAAATTTAATCTATAACTGGATAATCAGTTCATCACTTAATTCTCCTTGTTGACATCTGTCCAATGTTGACATCTGTCTTGAGCTCTAGGGAATTTTCTTTAAAAAAAATGATACCTTTTTCTTTTCTCTGTTTCTTTAATACCATTTAGTTGGATTTTGGATCTTCCGTATTGGTCCTCTGAATTTTTCTTGCATTTATATTCTAATCTTTTTACTTGAGCTTCTTGTTACGTCAAGCATATTCTCCTTTCTGAAAGCTCCTCTGCTTGTTCATAAAACCTTGTTCATGTTTAACAGATATAGTGTCTGCCTATTCGTTGAAAGGCTTCCTCATGTCATTTCCTTACAAGAAGAAACACTGTCCTATCAGTGCATTTCCTTACCTTTCATGATTTACAAAGTATAATATTCTGTTTTAAAACGAAACATAATTGGTTTTATGATTCATGTTCTTTTCAGTTTGCTTGTATTGCTCAAGAGTTGTTTTCACATTTAGTATGTTGCATGTAATATACATGCAGAGGTGGTTGATACATATGGAGCTCTGTAGTATTCCATTTACTGTATACTGTATGATTGATTCATTCTTTCATTGATAACCATTGAGGATACATTTTCATATCTCTATATTTTCAATTATGGAATTTCTTAAATATGGAGACTGCTTTCTTGATCTGCAGAATTTAGGAAAGACCAAACTGATGCTTGAGCTGTCTGTAATGAGTGCCTACAAGTCAGCTTGGAAAAATAATCCCTGAGGTTGGAATATACACGTATGCCAGGTACAGATAGTCTCGGCATCAGAACAGGCTGTGTTTCCAAAGTCAGTGGAGACTTGGATATATTTTCCTGTTCCACTCAGGCAGCTGTGAGCAAGGCCCTGAGCTGAGTGAAATAAGAAGAAGTTTAAACTGATATTTCTTCCTTACAGGAGCTCATGATCTAGAATCAAGGACAACACATACACAAATAACATGTGTGGGGCACAATGTGAAGCACTTTTGTAGGAGAGCTACATGCTGTACTTTTGAGAACGGAGGAGAAAGATCATTTCTGTGTGCGACCCTTTTCAAAGTTCATTTTCTTTGTGGTTGGCATGGGCTGAGGGATTAGAAATTGCTGAGCTGACAGCATTTGGGAAAGGGTGGGATTTTCCTAAATGGAGACTGAGTATAATGATGGTAAAGCTTTGCAGCTTTGCAGCCCAGGAGTTGGGGGGGCAGTGATATAGCATGGCAGTGATATTTTGTAATTGTTTCATTAGTCTGTGAACTCTTTGCAAGGCAGGAACTGGCTTCTCATTGACCTTTGCATTGACCTCCCCTAGCCACTGCTCTTAACAGGAGCTTGTCATTTGGGTCTCCATAGTACATGGCCATTGATTGGCTGCAGCTGGTGGTAAAATGCAAGACAGTTTCAGTGGGGACTTGCAAGTCAGGTGGGTTTTACTGAGATGGTTAGGATGTTTTTGGTGGGGAGGGATAACGGGACCTGAAATTTAATTGCTGTCATCCCCCAAAGAGGTCAGTGACAGGGCACCTCATTGCACATCCCATGTTACAAAACCTCTCATTGTACAGTGAATGGTGTGCAAACTGAAATTAAATCTATGGATTCTGCTGAACACCATTCCTAGTTGCCATTATTTCAGCGGCATTACTGGTGTCAACCAATTTCTCAGAGTTGGTTTATGAACCACTTGCATCTGGATCACCTCGTTAGCCTGGTGAAAGGTAGTTTCTGAGCTCCTTTAGAGAATCAGAATCTCTGGGTGGGGCAGGGAGCCTGGGAATCTGCACCTTGGCAAGTCCCCGAGGTGCAAATCACTGTCCTAACTCTCCAGTTATAATATGTAGAACTTTTTAGTCTTTATTTGCTATAATGAACTTTTACTTACCAAAAATCACCTCTTTGAGCCTATGGGTATAAAGTGAAATATTCACAGTATTTAAACTCATTTCTGCTTTTACAGTTGGACTTGGAATAATAATGATGTATTGAGCCAGTAACCATTTGAGTGGGATAAGAGTGCAGGTGGTGGATTGGCCTCAAGGGTATCGCCTCCTCCAGTACAGTCATTCACACACCAAGAGAGCGCGGCTCAGTGCCTTAGTGCTAGTGGACTGGGAGCTGCTGAGCCCTGCCAGGAGGGGTGCCTGGAGACAGAGACATCGCTGGGATGAGGTCTGAGAAATCCACCTCAAAAACATCTAGTGCTTAGGTGGCTGGGAATGAGCGCGTGTAGCCAGGTCAAAGCAGTGGTGCCAGGGAGCAGAGTCCCCTTGTGTGAACGTTGTTTCCGTGTCCTTGTTGCTGAGAGAGTTGGACTCCAAAATGGGAAACTGCTCTTAGGGTAAGTTTCATCTGTTGGTTTCTAGTCATTACTGGTCAAGAACCACATAAGCTTTTTTCCAACTGCTTCCCATTTCCGGACTTTTTATTCTCAAGCTCTCTCTATTTCTTCCATTTTCTTTGACGTATTGGTCATCTATTTTCAGAGACATTCTAATGTCCAGCTTCACTTTTTTCCTCCTGATTCTAGTTTTTCCCCTTATTTTTTTAGCTGCTAGGTTCATGTAGCTGCTGGCAGTGAATAGGAAAGGCCTGGTCTCAAATTCAGCAAGTTTTGAGGAAGTGGGTCAGATCCTAGACAACCCCCTTGATGTTCTTCAATTTTTAAAAAAGAAACCATGTCCTGCACTTTAATGCCTCATTCAGTTTAGTATTCTCTGTACAAAATTGGGGCCTTTTTACCTTCTCTACCACAGAACCCACTTTTTCTTCAGCCACCCTTAGTTTGTCACTGCAAAATACACATACACACACACAAACTCACACACTGCATTGCTAGTTAACCCTTCCTCCAACCCAGACATACACCCAGTCTTACTCATGCTCCAAGAATTCTAGAGTGGCTGAGTATACTGGTCAGGAGGACTCCATCTAAGACCAGGAGGTCGGGAACTAGAAGCCTAGGAGAGTTGGGCATCACTGAAAACCCAGTGACCCTGGCATTATCTAGGTTCCCTGGGTTGACATAATGGAATTAAGGATGGATCGGAGCTAATGTGTCCTTGAGGAGGTCTGCTCTGGTAGATATTTGATGTAGATGATTGAAACAGTTATAATGAACAAAGTTTTAAAGCCAGTGTTTAACATTTAGTGTATAATAGATATTGTGCTCTCTCTTATTTTTTAATTACAGTTGACATTCATTAGTTTCAGGTGTACAGCATAGTGGTTAGATAATATATAATTTCTGAAGTGATCCCCTTGATAATTCTAGTCCCTGCCTGGGACCATACATAGTTATTACAGAAATTGTGCTCTTCATGAGCACTATTTCATTTAAGCCTACCTTCCTTATGAAGTACAGTCATCATTTTACTGATGAGGAAACTGAGGCCGAGGGAGATTAATTTGCTTAAGTTTCATGTAGTGTATTCTAGTGCTCGTCACAGGAGGCATTTCAGTGTTCTTAGTCATAGCTTTTTGATGGCCATAGCTTTCCATTATAACAGGAAAGGCAATGCTGGATTAGTCTTATTCCAGGCCTAACATTCTGGGACTTTGTGGTTTTATGTAGCAAGCAGGGTTTTGAAAAACCGGGACTTGAAACGAGGACAGTGCAGATAAAATGAATAGTCTGGCCCTGGCCGGTGGGCTTAGTTAGGTGGGCATCGTCCAGTGCTCTGAAAGGTTTCTGGTTCCATGCCTGGTCAGGGCACATGCCCAGGTTGTGGGCTCGATCCCCAGTTGGGGGAGTGCAGAAGGCAGCCGCTCAATGTTTCTCTCTCTCTCCCTTTCCTATCTCTAAAAATCAATTCAAATATCTAAAACAGAATAGTTCGAAGAAACACCCTTGAATGGGGCACACCTACATGGGGGCTCCACGGAGCCAAATGTTCATTCCAAGGGTTAAGAGGAGAATTTATCTTGGCAGCATACAGTTTGAACAGA